GCGAGGTATAGGTAGTTGTTGTGTGTGTCTGTCATTCATTCATTCATTCATTCATTCTGTACAACTGAAATTTGTTTTTAATAAACAATAACTTTAGCACAGCATGTTCTAAGCTCCTAGATCTTTCTTTTTGACGTGGAAAAGTCTTTTTTAACTGTTTTGTGTTGCTCAAATACAAGTGCTAGGTACAGAAGCTTCAAAGTAAGAAAATCGAGTAGTTGGCCCGGCCAAGTTCCGTTGTGTTGGCACTTTAGAGATAGCTGGTAGCATTTTTCCGTAGATTAGAACATGGCCTTCAAAAATTATGAACAGATTTCTCTAAATCTTACTTGATGAAGAGTTATACTTACTTGAAATTGTTGAGGTCACTCGTTTGTGCAGCGCTAGAGCAACAACTTGCTGGGTTATAGGTACTAAAGTACCTATGCTATCTCAAATATACAAAGGCAGCAACTTTTTTTGTCAGCAAGTTTATCATATATTGCTGATTAGTAAAGAAAAAGTGAAGCTTCTTTCTCACATGGTCTTCTTGCTGCCACTCATGGAATGCCACACCTTTCAATCTACATGCATGGGAGGGGCTGGAGCTGCTTGCATGTATGTGCTGCAGTGCTGCTACTTCTGCAGGTATTCAAGAGCAAGTGCAACTGTAGGAAGCTAGTGTTGAGCAGACTCTCTTCATGTTGATAATCAAACAGTTATTGAAGTGTGGGCATGCACCATAGCAGCTATAGGGGCGAGGCCATGCACCGTAGGTGTCTCGTTGTAGTAGTTTTCAACTTTGTCTAGCAGCAAAGATTACATCTCCAAGTGTCATCATGCATACTGGAGAATGATGGTTGCAAAGATTGATAAATTACCCAATGAAATGTGCTCCAAAGTTAGCTGCTAGTATGGGTACTTTACATACTTAGTTAATAGACCAGCTCATAATGCTTTTAAGTAGACAATTTTAAAACTATCATTGTGTTTTAAACTAGCAGAGAAGGACCCAAGTACTGAAGCCAACGGTTACGCTAAAGCTGGTAAGGACATCAATTATGCCACTCCAAGTAAATATTTATTATCAGTCAAAGTGATTTGCTACTATTTTATTTAGTGTAAAACTGAAGAGGAGATGCATAAAACCTTTAACCTACAGATACATGTACTTAAATTATTATACTTAGGAACTTCCATTGATTTTTTAAATAATTAGTCTTTAACATTAATTTAATGTATAGTTGCAGCAAAGATCAAAGGCCTAACAGTTGTGATAAAACCCACAGAACACTCCCACCAATACCGCATTGTGATATTATAGATAGCACACTCATTTATTTAATGTGCAGCAGTGTGATATCAGTTTACTGGTAAAATGAAGTTTGTGAGTGGAGGAAGTTGGTCATCTAGTTCATCAATCCATTTCTCTAACTAAAAAGATCCAGCCTGTTAAAAACTTACCTGTTTAAATATTTAAAAACTGCTTCATCAACTTGACCATCGCGATATAAGGGGACTACCCTATCACGAAAAAGAGA